CTCGCCCCTCTCGCCCGGCTGGTTGTCGGCCCGATGGTTGTCCCGATGTTTGTCCCGATGGTTGCCCCGATGGTTGTCCCGATGGTTGTCCCGATGGTTGTCCCGATGGTTGTCCCGATGGTTGTCCCGATGGTTGTCCCGATGGTTGTCCCGATGGTTGTCCCGATGGTTGTCCCGATGGTTGTCCCGATGGTTGTCCCGATGGTTGTACCGATGGCCGATAGTTGTCCCGATGGTTGTCCCGATGGTTGTCCCGATGGTTGTCCCGATGGTGTTCCTGATGGTTGTCAGGATAGTTGTTCCTGATGGTTGTCCCGATGGTTGTCCAAATTGTAGTCCCGATGGTTGTCCCGATTTGGGTCCCGACGGTTGTCCCGATGGTTATCCCGATGGTCGTCCCGATGGTTGTCCCGATGGTTGCCCCGATGGTTGTCCCGATGGTTGTCCAGAAGGTTGTTCCGATGGTTGTCCCGATGGGTGTCCCGATGGGTGTCCCGATGTTTGCCCCGATGGGTGTCCCGAAGGTTCTCCCGTTGGTTATCCCGATGGTTGTCCCGATGGTTGTCCCGATGGTTGTCCCAATTGTTGCCCCCATGGTTATCCCGATGGTTGTCCCGATGGTTGTCCCGATGGTTGTCCCGATGGTTGTCCCAATTGTTGTCCCCATGGTTGTCCCGATGGTTGTCCCGATGGTTGACCCGATGGTTGTCTCGATCATTGTCCCGATGGTTGTCGCGATGGTTGTCCCGATGGTGGATTCCTGATGGTAGATTCCTTCGTTGGCGCCAGGCGGGACTCATCCCAAATCGACCGCCTCGCCGTTCCCCCCCAACGTCCTTACGCAGCTCCCCGCAATTGCGGATAAGAGAGAAGGGGCGGCCGCGGGCGACGCGGGCGTCGAGCCGGCGGACCTCGTGGCACTCACCTTCCCTGTCGATGGCGCCCTCCTCCCCCTCCTCCTCCTCCTCTTCCTCCTCCTCCTGCTCCTCCTCCTCCTCCTCCTCTTCCTCGTCCGCGTCCTCGTCCTCATCGACGTCGTCGTCGTCGTCGTCGTCGCCCGCCTCCTCCGAGTTGCAGCAGGCACCTGGATTGTCAATGAACGTGTTCAGACACAGCCCCGCCGCAGGCGCCGATGTGCTGTTGTAGAGTCAACGCGGGCCGGATCGGGGGAATCGCACGAGGGCGCTTTCCCAAACCAATGCGAGCAAGCCCGCCGCAGGCGCCGATTTGCGTGCTCTGACAAGTTCAGCGCGGCGGGAATCGCTGGTGGGCCACCGGGACGGAATGCAAAAACAGCCCGCCGCAGGCGCCGAATTTTTGGCTGATGCAGTGAACGTAGTTTGGGTCGCGGGTGGGTCGCGGGCTCTCCACCTCCACCTGGAAGGAATTCAAAAACAGCCCGCCGCAGGCGCCGAAAAAAATGTGTACACTGAACGCGATTTGGGTCGCAAAGTTTCCACCTGGAGCGAATGCAAAAAGACCCGCCGCAAGCGCCGAAGTTTTGGCTGATGCAGTGAACGTAGTTTGGGTCGCGGGTGGGTCGCGGGCTCTCCACCTCCACCTGGAACGAAGTCAAAAACAGCCCGCCGCAGGCGCCGAAAATTTTGATTTGTACACTGAACGCGGTTTGTGTCGCGGGTGGGTCGCAGGTTCCTCGTCTGGAACGAATGCATAAAAAGCCCGCCGCAGGCTCCGATAATTTTGGGTGGGTCGCGGGGTGGGTCGCGGGTGAGTCACGGGTGGGTCGCGGTGAATCGCGGGTGGGTCGCGAATAATTCCCGGGTGGGTCGCGGGGTGGGCCGCGGGTGGGTCTCGGGGTTGGTCGCCGGTGGGTCGCGGGTGGGTCGCAGGTGCAAGAAAAAACCCGCCGCAGGCGCCGAAGTTTTGGCTTGTTCAATGAACGTAGTTTGGGTCGCGGGTGGGTCGCGGGCTCTCCACCTCCACCTGGAAGGGATTCAAAAACAAACAGCCGCAGGCGCCGAAAATTTGGATTTGTACACTGAACGCGGTTTGGGTCGCGGGTGGGTCGCGGGTTCTCCACCTGGAACGAATGCAAAAGAATCCCGCCGCAGGCGCCGAACATTTTGGGTGGGTCGCGGGGTGGGTCGGGGTCGCGGGTGGGTGGCGGTGGGTCGCGGGTGGGTCGCTGGTGGGTCGCGGGTGGGTCGCGGGGTGGGTCGCGGGTGGGTCGCGGGTGGGTCGCCGGTGGGTCGCGGGTGGGTCGCCGGGGGGGTCTCGGAGTGGGTCGCGGGCGGGTCGCGGGGTGGGTCGCGGGTGGGTCGCGGGTGGGTCGCGGGTGGGTCGCGGGGTGGGTCGCGGGTGGGTCGCTGGGTGGGTCGCGGGTGGGTCGCGGGTGGGTCGCGGGGTGGGTCGCGGGTGGGTCGCGGGTGGGTTGCGGGTGGGTCGCGGGACGACAACAACAAACAACAAACAAGAAGCAACTAACAACAACCAACGACCAACAACCAACAACCAACAACAATAACAACAAGAATCCGCATCGCGGAATTATACTTCAGCCACGCACCCAGGGACAGTGAATGACCCTTCGGTTCAGCCCCCTCACTCTGACCAATCCGATTGGTCCCCTTCTGGGAGGGGTTTGCACTCCCCCGCATCGCCTCTGGGTCCAGAGGGGGGGCGCAAGGGTTAGAGCGTCCAAGATTGATGAATATGGCCCTCAGTTTGTGTCTGCCAGCTGAAGGTGCCCTCCGAAATCTCTCCAGATAACCCAAGACAGGTCAACGTAGCTTCCACATCCTCCGCCTCGCACCTCTTGATGTTCCTCGTCCTCCTCCTCCTCCTCCTCCTCCTCCTCCTCCTCCTCCTCCTCCTCCTCCTCCTCCTCCTCCTCCTCCCCCTCCTCCCCCTCCTCCTCCTCCTCCTCCTCCTCCTCGTCCTCCTCCTCCTCCTCTTCCTCCTCCTCCTCTTTCTCCAGATTCTCCTTACATCCTCTCTTCTTCCGCGTCCTCTGTTTTCTCCTCTGCCTCGCCGTTCTTTCTCAATGCAACGGCAAAACAATCCTTTGTTCCACTGAATGCTCCCCGACTTCTCTGATCTAGGCAACTCGCCAGGGTAAAGTTGCTGGATGCGTTGGTGTGGATGAGCGGAGCTTGGAGAGGTCTTGGGGGGGGCTCAGACGGCATGCAAAATCCGCCGCCGCGCTTGTGCGGTACTGGCGTGCTGTGTGGTAGGGTTCGTGGACGCCCCCCTCAGGAGGGTGCTTGAGCGCCCCGAGGCCTCTTAATTGTGGGCGCCTTGAGGCAGCTTCCTCTGAACCCAGGCTTTGGGCACGGATGCCGAATTGCAGCAGGCAGCTGGATTGTCAATGGACGTGTTCAGGCACAGCCCCGCCGCAGGCGCCGATGTGCTGTTGTAGAGTCAACGCGGGCCGGATCGGGGGAATCGCACGAGGGCGCTTTCCCAAACCAATGCGAGCAAGCCCGCCGCAGGCGCCAATTTGCGTGCTCTGACAAGTTCAGCGCGGGGGGGATCGATGGTGGGCCACCCGGAACGAATGCAAAAACAGCCCGCCGCAGGCGTCGAAAAAATTTGACTTGTACACTGAACGCGGTTTGGGTCGCGGGTGGGTGTCGCAGGATCCTGGAACGAATGCACAAGAAACCCGCCGCAGGCGCCGAAAATTTTGGGTGGGTCGCGGGGTGGGTCGCGGGTGGGTCGCGGGTGGGTCGCGCGTGGGTCGCGCGGGTCGCGGGTGGTCGCGGTGGGTTGCGGGGTGGCGGGGTGGGGGGTCGGGTGGGTCGCGGGGTGGGTCGCGGGGGGGTGGGGTGGCGGGGTCGCGGGGTGGGTCGCGCGTCGCGGGTGGGTCGGGGGTGGGTGGGTCGCGGGTGGGTCGCGGGGGTGCGCGGGCAGGGCGGGGTGGGTCGCGGGGTGGGTCGCGGGGTGGGTCGCGTGGGTCGCGGGTGGGTCGCGGGGTGGGTCGCGGGTGGGTCGCGGGTGGGTCGCGGGACGACGAACAAAAAACAAACAACAAACAACAAACACAACAACAACAACAACAACAACAACAAAAACAACAACAACAACAACAACAACAACAACAACAACAACAACAACAACAACAACAACCACAACAATCATAATCCGCATCGCGGAATTCCACTTCAGCCACGCGCCCAGGGACAGTGAATGACCGTTCGGTTCAGCCCCCTCATTCTGATCACCCGAAGGGTGGTCCTATCGGTATGTATGTATGTATGCATGCAGGTGTGTCTATATATATATATACACTTATATATATATATACATGACGTCTGAACTTTCGAGTATCCATGCTTTGTGCTCTCTACACTATCCCCACACTCACAGCTGGTACAACCTGGCAACCAACACTTCCAACGAGACCCCGAACCAAGAACCCAAGAACGCACCGTCCACCGCAGTTTGGCGGCGCGCGCAATGGGATGGCGCGAGGGGGGCAGCATTCCAAGAAACAGGGGAGGGTTTCTAAGACGGCTGGCCGCTTCTCAGAAGGCAGAGGGCACTTCCAATAGTGTCCCTCGGCTTCTAAGAAGACCCCTGGCTTCCAAGAAGGACTCTCGCTCGTTCCATCTTTTCGTGCGACCGCCTACCAATATGGGCGGCACATTTCCGCTTCATCCGTAAAAGATCCGCGAGGACCCTTCGGCGCAGCCACCCGTCGTAGAACATCGATCGGGGTCGGGAGAGGTGGTCTGGGGGAGGGGGGGTCGGAGAGTTCCAGACACACTCTTGAAGAACAGCAGATCCAAGTATCGGAGGCTCGGTTGAGCGTCACCCTCCCCACTTTCACTCCGCCTCACCACCGTGCAGGGGAACAGGGACACACAAATAAAAATATCCCCCATATTTTCCTATATTTTCTGGGTATTTGTCTTCCCCCCCACTTCCCATATTTTCCCATATTTTCTGGGGAATCGACGATTAATTGTGTCTGTGTGTTTCTTTCCCTCCTGACACCGCCCCGCCCTCGCGCCCCCTCCCGGTGCGAGGGACCGGGCCTCCGCCATGCCTGCTTTCACCAGGCTGCGCTTGAAGATCTGGAACTTCTGGTTGCGCCGCAGCTGCAGCACCTCTTGGCGTGAAGGGAAGCCGGCGAGCGAAAAGTGCCATGGACGCTGAGGCATTTCCCTGGGACCACTTCTTCATCCCGAACCGTTTTCTGACGGCCCTGGGGCCCGTGGGGGGCCGCGGGAGCCCCAGAACCATGAAACAACCGCCCAGGACACGTCTCCTTCCAGCCCCCCCTCCCCTCACAGCGAGCCTTGTAGGTGCGCTCGCACTGCTTCAGCATCACCACCAGGTCGCGCTTCGCTTTGCTGCCCATCTTCGGAGATGATAGCCCTGGCGGGCCGGCGTCGGCCCCCAGATGTCTCGACCCTCCTCCAGCTCCTCCCTCTCTTCCTCCTCCTCCTCCTGCTTCTCATCTTCCTCCTCCTCCTCCTCCTCCTCCTCCTCCTCTTCCTCCTTCTCCTCCTCCTCCTCCTCCTCCTCCTCCTCCTCCTCCTCCTCCTCCTCCCTCCCTTATCATTCCTCCTTCTCCTCCTCCTTCTCCTCCTCGTCCTTGTCGTCGTCGTCGTCGTCGTCGGAGGAGGAGGAGGAAGGCGGCCCGCCTCCCTGGCCCTGGAGCGACCTTCGAGACCGGTGCTTCTCGGCTTCTCGCTCGAGGGTCCAGCTCGGACGAGCGCAAGCTTACCCCCGCATAACACCTTCACAGCAACACGGGTAAAGAGGCGGGACAGGGGTAAGAACACGGCCGCGTGTACATCCCAACCATCCTGTGGCGTTGGGTCCTCGATTTGAAGACGCAGCGCCCCGCGTCCTCCTCCTTCCTCTTCCCCCTCCTCCCTCCTCTCGCCCTTGCCTCTGTTTTTCCGCGTGCTCATTTCAGCGCACCCATTCGCACGGTTCGTGGCCCCATAAGGAGCTCCACCGAAGGCCCCAATGGCAGCGTCCACATGCGCCCACCCCGCCCGCCGCATGCTGATTCCGGCACACCCCTCACGCGGTTCGTGGACCCATAGGGAGGTCCACCGAAGGCCCCACCGGCAGCGTCCACATGCGCTTATGCCGCCCGCCGCATGCTCTGGAGTAGCTTGCGGCGCGCACGAAGCGGTGCAGGAGGGAGGCGACGGCCCTCGCCAGGCAGCCAGGCTTCACTGAACTCAACCGTGAAAGCTGGGCCGGGGTGCTGGCCCGCCCGAGCAGCGCCTTCTATCTATTGGCCAACCGTTTGGCCTCGCGCCGCGGGCGACCCGCGCGCGTCGCTCGGGGCGACCAGCGCGCGTCACGGGAACTCCGTGCCGTGCTCTGCACAGCGCCTCGCTCGCCCGTCGTGGCTCTGCCCAGTGGCCGGAGCCTTGTCCGCTATCTGCCAGCCAGCTGGCTCTCTTTGCTCCGCATAGCGGACGACCCGCGCGCGTCGCTGGGACACCTTCGGGGCGACCGGCGCGCGTCGCGGGGACTCCGCGCTGCGCTGCGCCCGCAGCCTCGGACTGTGAAATGCGCAGGTTTTCCCTGTGCCCGCCCATCGAACAGATCACGGACAGATGGAACCTCCCCGAAGGCCCTATAGGAAGCTCCACCAAAGGCCCCAGTGGCAGCGCCCGCGTGCCGCCGCCATCCCACATTGGCATACCCCTCGCCCACGTCGTGCCCCCATAAGGAGCTCCACCGGAGATGACACTCACGACCGCGTTACTCACACCTGCGTATGGTTGGGTCCTTCGCCAGGCTATTGTTACACGAGATCGTGGCCGTCCGGACCAAAATTGTAGCCATCATTGAAGCGAGAGCACGGCCATGCGCACCAAAGTCATATGCTTTACCAGGGATCGTGGCCGTCCTGACCAAATATGTAGCTGGTACTGAAGCGAGAGCACGGCCATGTCCACCTTCAGGCAGACTCTACAAAAGATCGCGGTCGGCCGGACCAAACATGTGGCCGGCTTTGAGGCACATTCTGGAAAAACTGGTGAGGATCTTGAGCGAAACGGCTGTGGGACCGAACGATGTCGGGGAGCGGTCCTGGGCTCACCGTCCACACTGTGGGACTCTTCTGAGGTCCTGTCACACCTTCACTAGAACCCTCCAGCGAGACACTGGTAGGAAACAGCGAAAGAGTAAGACGCTGACGGGCACTCAGCGGCAGCGGGTCATTGATACGATCGGGAACTTTGGCTTAGCGTGTCGCAGCGGCGGCCCCGGCGACTCGCTATGCATTGCGTGCCTTGCGAATGAAACGCGCGTCGCTTCGCTCCGCGGGGCGGAAGGCTCGGAAAGGCTCGCAACGTTGACGCTGGGGGGCTGGGAAATGGATAGCGTGTCGCGTTGCAGCGTGGTGGGCCAAAACCGGCGGAGCGACACGCTATCCAAAAGTTCCCGACCGCAACACGCTGACGGGCACCCAACGGCAGCGAGTCATTGATACGTTTCTTGTTCTCGAGGAGGACAACAACATACAAACATGTACACATTCGGAACTCCGCGCGAATTTCTCTTGGATCTGCGCTGGACCCGCCTGCCTTGGCGTGCGCAGCGAGCTAAGATCGAGCAGGGACCGACCGTCCCAGCACTCCGATCGGCCTACCACGGAATGTTCTTAGAACCAACAGATATCCGAATGTCGGCAACTACGTTCTTAGAACATGAACCCGATGTACTGAAACCAGACAGTTCTCGGCCAGGCATGTTCTCAGAACACCCTGTGCAAGCCACAAGGTTCTCAGAACATCCTTTGGTGGGCCTATGAGCAAGTAAGCCAGGACGCGTCGCCACTGCTCGACAGGGGCGGCGTCGGAGGCGCCGCCAGGGGGGCTCCAGCGCCGATCCAAGCAATCCGCCCGGATCGTCGAAAATGTATGCTTGCGCCGTTGTCCGTGAGCTGGTCCCAGAGGAGGAGGAGGAGGAGGAGGAGGAGGAGGAGGAGGAGGAGGAGGAAGAGGAGGAGGAGGAGAGGAGGAGGAGGAGGAGGACCCTCCCGGGCGCCCGCCCGCCGCGCGGCAGAGAGCGGCGCAGCGCGGGGGGGGGGGGGCGCGCCCGAGAGCCGCGAGGCCGGGCCGCCGGGCGCGCCGAACGGCTCCACCGAGCTCGCGCGCCTTGCGGCCGCGCGGCGGGCGGCCGCGGGGCGCAGGGCGGAGGCGCCGGCGGCGGCGGCGACGGCGGCGGCGACGGCGACGACGACGACGGCGGCGACGACGGCGACGACGCCCCCCAAAGCGGGGCGGCGCCGCCGACGTCAGCGGCGTTCGCGGCGCCGGCGGCCACAACGACAGCAGCGCGGGCGGCGGCGGCGGCGAAGCTAACGAGGGCGGCGGTGTCGACGGCGGTGGCGGCGCGGGCGGCGGCAGCGGCTTCGCCGCTACTGCCTTGTCCTCCTCATTGTGTTCCCCCCTCCCCCCATTCCCCCTTCCTCCTCGTTCGCGCTCCTCCTCCTCCACCTTCCTGTCCTCCTCCTCCTCCTCCTCCTCCTCCTCCTCCTCCTACTCATCCTCCCCCTCCTCCTCCTCCACCCTCTTGTCGTCACCCTCCCTCCTTTCCCCCTCCTCTCTTCATTTGCCACCACCCATCGAACTCCTTCTTAATCGCACTTCTCCCCCTCATCAGACCCATACGACCACCCTTCGGGTGAGAAGTAAGTTGTGGGGGGAGGGGGCAACTAATGACAACTGCAGTGGCTGTGATGGTGACGACGCTGGTGACGACGAGATGGCGACGACGCACGACGACGACGCTGGTGACAACGCATGATGACGATGCACGGCGGCGACGCTAGTGACAATGCATGTGGTTGTGGTGGCGATGCTTGGCGGCGATGCTGGTGATGAGCGGGGCATCGTAAACGGGCAGCGCGCAACGGTAGCAGTGCCTCTCGCAACTTTGACTGGCAGTGCCTGGCTAGTGGCACCACACACCCGCGATGGCGCGCTCACACCGGTGATTGCATCACCATCGCAGTCGCAAGCAAATAAATGCCACCTCCATTGTTGGAGGTGGCACTTATGTGCCCGCGACTCCTGTGGCGCGCCAGCAGAAGGTACAATGCATTTTCGCACAGCGGCGAGCGACCCTTGTGGCGCCGTCCCACTACCCATCTCATACTCGATGTCACTATCTACCGAACTCGCAACCAATGGATCCCACTATCGATGTGATTAGCGATCTCACTGGCCATCTTACCGCGAGCGGCCTGGGTATCCATTGAACTCGATATCCATCAGCCTCAAAATCCGTCGACCCCACCATGTATATGTCGACCTCGCTATCGGCATGACGATCGATATCACGATGGACCTCACTGTGGATCTCACTACCGATCGGCTTCATTATCCGCAAATTTAACGATCCACCGACCTCACAATCCATCGATCCCACACCGAGGTCTCCTTTTCCTTCTACAACGATGATTCCGCCTCCGCCGCCATCGCGGGCACATTAATGCCATCTCCGCTGCTGGAGGTGGCAATTATTTGCCCGCGGCCACTCTGGACCTATCGACCTCGCAGTCGACCTCACTTCCTACCTCACTTTCCTGTCCTCGATCAACCATACTATCGATCTCGCTCTCGTTCTACCTATCGATCCCACTATCGATCTCATCATCGATCTCCCTCTATTTATCGACCTCACAGTCGACCTCACGATCGATCTCACTATTTATCCACTATCGACTTGTGCATCGATCTCCCTACCGCACCCACTACCGATCCGACTATCGATTGTGGATCCCACTCAGTCAGTGTCACCATCGATCTCACTATCGATCTCACTGCCCGACACCTCCACGGCACGCCTCGGGACACCGCGGGACACTGCGCCACGGCACACCGCGGGGACACCACGGGGACACCGGCGGGACACCGGCGGGACACCCCTGGGCCACCGCTGGCCGAGCAGGGGGGAGGAGAGGCATGGAGCCCTGCTTCGCCGCAGCCAGGGCGGGATCATGCCTCGCGCCCGCCCACGCAGCTTCGCCTCGCCGGCACGCACGACACGAAACCGAAGCCGATTGCCCAGTGGGGGGCTCTCCGTTTCACTGCGATCTCACCACCCAGTCTCCGATTTGTCTGGATCCTGTCGCAAAAGACTAAGAGTCCATTGAACCCGAGTGATTTCTTGCCCTAGCTGATAGAAAGACAATGCTCTCTAAGAGCACGCACCCTTATAGCATGCCATGTCAGACTGCATATGCATAGAATATCAAAACAGACGCGCATCATAGTTGCTGTAGCCTCCGTGCTATCTTCATACATCCATATTCCTTCAGCTCTTCACGTCACTGCCATGTAACGTGATCCAGATCTGCTGTCGTGCGACAGAGGACGATCGATCATTCCTTCTCCCTACTCCTGTCTTTCTCCTCCGCCTGCTGCTCGTTTTTCTCCATGCGGTCTGCGCCCTTGGGCCACGAGCGCCCTTGCACGGCAGCGCAGGGTAATCGCGGCGCGGCGGCGCACGTGGTGGCGTGCTGGCTATTGCAAGCCAGGTTTGTGTTATAGCCCAGCCCCTTCCCAAAATCGGCAGCGAGCCCAGGAGGGAAGTGAGAAGGGCCGGGCCTCATCAGAACGCTCGGACGGCCTCCGGCCTTCTGAGAAGAAGGAGCCTGTTTTTTTAGACTCTGGCAAGTTTACTTGCATGGACGGGGGGGGGGGGGCTGAGCCTGAAGCAAGCCTGGGGGGTGGGGGGCGCGGAAATCACGCAAGTCGAAAGGCACTTGCACGCTAGTATTCGCTCGAAGAGGGGCGAGGGGGGGGGGGGGGGGGGGCGAACGCCATGCAAGTAAACTTGCCTGAATCCCCAAAAAACAGGCTCAAGTGTTCTAAGCCTCCCCCGAACACGCAGCCGATCGCCTCCGCCGCGCCGCGGAGACCAAATATGCGGGGCCCTCGCCGGGGCCCCCGCCTGGCCCGGCAATTCTGCTGCTCAGCTGCCCCCTCGCAGGCCCATCGCTGCGACACCCTGGGGGCCCTGGCCCCCGTGGCCCCTCGCCCACGGCGGGCCGTCGGCGGCCCGCCCCCCGCGCTCCGCCGAGCCGCCTCCACCTCGGCGGCGGGGGCACCCCCTGCACGGCGCGCCCTGCACCTCCACTTCGCACCGCTCCTCCCGGCGCTCGCGGCCGCCTGCGCGAAGCCCGCCCCCCGCGTCGACCCTCGACGGCCCGGCCGCTGCCAGGTGGCCGCCCCCGCGGCCGCCCTCTGCCCTTCCGCCCGCCCCGGGTGCGCCCCGTGCCCGCCGCGGCCCCGCGGGCTCTGCCCCGGCGCGCCTGCGATCGCCGGCGCCGCCGGCCAAAGATGCGCAGCACGTGGGGCTGCGCTGCTCCACGGCACCGCCTGGTCCGTCCCGGTCCGAGCAGCCACCCTTCGCACGACTCCTGCCGGGAGCTGTGTGGGCGCCACGCGCCTCGCAAGGTCCCTTATGGCCTGAGATCGTTTTCTCCTCCTGCCTCTCCTCCAACGGCCGCCTCTCTCTCTCTCTCTCTCTCTTTTTTTTGTTCTCTCTCTCTCTCTCTCTTTTTCTCTCTCTCTCTCTCTCTCTCTCTCCTCTCTCTCCTCGTCGTTCCCCTGTGTGTCAACTCGCCTCTTGGCGTCGCGCTTGGGCTCCGACTGCGGCGTACACTCGCCTGTGTCCACGAACTCCCCCCCGAAAACAACTGAGCTCATTACGCGTGTGAGATGCGATGGCCGTGGTGCAGTTCAATATGCAAGACTTGGAATCTCCACTGCTCATGCAAACATCCCGAACTCCAGCCCGCATTGCGTTGGCAAAACTTATTCTGCAATTACCTCAACGGGTGCACGGGCGCGTGGTAGTCAACCGCGCAGGCATCTCCGTCCGGAAAGAAATGCAAGAGGACGGGGGGAACTTAGGAAGATGATCGTACGAACAATGAAAAATAATCTGAGGAATGGAGAAAGGAGGAGGAGGAGGAGGAGGAGGAGGAGGAGGAGGAGGAGGAGGAGGAGGAGGAGGAAGAGGAACAACCCCGATGAGCAGGATAATCAGGAGGGAGAGGAGAAACAGGAGGAGGAGGAGGAGGAGGAAAAGAGGAGGAGACACAGCAGGAAAAGTAGGCGGAAAGGAAGAATAATCAGGAAGGGGAGAAGGAGCGAAGGAGGGAGAGGATTACAGGTTTACAGGGGTCACCGCAAGCACTGGTGTGATATTCAAGCGTGAAACTTAGGCAACTACCCTTTCAGAAATGAGCCGCGAAAGGCCCTGTCGAAATGCTCGCGGCGTTTCTTGGACATGGGCTCCTTGCAAGGCTCTCCAAGACCCTCGAGCTGGGCCTGGCCGAAAGACCCGCGCGTCTTGCATAAACATATTCAAAATTCTTCATGCATACATACAGTATGCAAACGACGCCCTCGAGACCGTCTAGGCACTTTGCCGTCGACAGCTTCGAAAGGCACGCAATCACTTCTGAGGCAGGTGGTCTCAGCGGCCTTGGACGCGGAAGATTTGCAGACCCGACCAACAAACGCCAATCCTCGGCCAGGAAGTGCGGGGTCGCGAATCGCGTGCTAACACGGGTGGCAGGAGAAAACGAGGAGGCGGAGAGGGGGGCGGAGGCGGAACACCTTCAGCCCCCTGCTGACTCACGCGTCGGCGGGCCTCACCCTTGGTTCGCTGCTTGGCCTCCTGCTCCGCTCTAATGGCGCGCGGAACTGCGCGCAGAAGGCGCCGTCGGACCAGCGGCGCCGCCCTCGCCACACTCGCTGCCCAATGACCATCCGCCAGCGGCAAACCTTCCTGAGCTGCGGAGGCCTTAGCAAGGCGATCCGCGGCTTCGTTCCCCCGGGCTAGCCAGGAGGACACTTCGGGCAGAAACGCATCGCAGGCCTCCAGGCGGGGGGGCGCTCTGGAGAACCACCGCGTCCCCAGCTCCACGATGCTGCGGAGAGCTAGGTGTCGGCGTCGCGCCAGATGTCCGCGCGGGCGCCGCCGGGCGCTGGGCGAGCCCCTGCCTGCCACCCGCGGCGCACTTCCCCGCAGTCGGTAACGAAGGCGACAATGCCTTCAGGTCGGGCCTGCCCCCGCGCAGGCGGGTTTTAGAAGACAAATGAAGCGCATTCCAAAAATGTTCAAATCTAATCTAACA